TTTTATTAACCGACATAAACAAAGAACATTCTCAATTCGACCGTATGTTTTCATCGTATGTATGTTACGCGATAACTCGTTCGGCATTTGTGAACCGGTTTTGATGATTCTTTTTTATTGGAAAAAGGTACCTCAGTAGTGGTTCCATTTAAACTTAAATGTATATTCTACCTCTAAGGGTGGCAAACTAGGGGATGAATGACTTTTGAGGTCGGTTTTTTTAGTACTCTGTACTGAGAATATGTTAGAAGCTTTTGGGGTATTTAAAAATAATCCTCTGGCAACATTGGGGTAACGCAAAATCATTCTTAAAGTGCTTTTCCACCGGCGAGGAGAGACGAGACGAGGCGATGCGAGAATTGAAATCTCGCCGACCTATTTTCACTAAAGTTTGCCATCGCGAGCTCGCGCGAGTACGCGCTATGGTTATGGATAGTGAAGACACAGTGCTGTTCAATTCGTCTAGCGATAAACACACGGCTAAAGTACCATGTCACGCAAATTCTTATTATTAAATATGTTAACGGAAGAAGAATCCGATGAAGATGCTGTAAGAAGAAATAATCGTAAGCTGTCTGTACCCTCTAAGATAAAATATATAAATAAATAAAAATAAAAAGAACTTTTTCGATCTTTTCATTTCCGATGATGCAATATTTTAAAAGTGATTACATAATTATGATAAAATCACAATCCTAATCGTGTACATTTTAATGCAATTATAAATTATACAACATATATTGTATAAATATTTACGAAAATGATATGGATACATGTATGACACCAGGACTATAAAATTAGTAGTAGTTTATTTATTATTCTCTGAAATAAAAGTAGGTATACCTTTTTTAAAATGGTGTCGTGATTACATATTTTTGAAAACAGCACAAGGTACATTTTTTGAAATATCTAATATTTACATAATTTTGAAAATATGTGAACGTTTACATATCAATGCACGCGACTGTATCTCACAATCTGGCGATTGACATTAATAGCCACCGAAGATGCACTAGGAGAGAATTGATATTTTGCCATACAAATTTTAAAAATCGTCTCGCCTCGCCTGTGGAAATACACCATTACACTGCGTAAAGTCTTATGATTAGCTTAAAAGCATGTACATGGATTATTAATACCTAACGATAAATAATAACTTTTCGAACGTGGTACTTTAAAATGTAGAGAATGGTTTCTTCAAGAAAACCAGCGTAATGAAGAAATTGGGTGTTATAATGGGTGCTAATGAACACTCTACGGAATCAGGCTGAGAAGCGCCATTGAGACATTGAATCATTAGGCTTTACATTCTTACTATTGTTGTTCGTGACTTTGCGCTCTGATACTTGCTGTGTTCTATGTATTTTTACGTTCTTTTTATTAAGGTTTTCTAACATTTCATGGAAGCGATAAACTTGGTTTTATTCGGATGTAATAACCTTCTGCTTTTGTGTGGCATGCAGCTAGTAGCTAAAATCATCCAGCTAAATAAAATGTCTATACTCAACATATTTGTCTAATCAACGTATTCTTGTAATTCAGATTTTTGTAAAATATTTTTGTATGTAGTGAAATTTGGTGACTTCTACGATAGACCTTTACACTTTATAAAAATTAAATGTTTTATTGGGTTGCGAAGAAAAAATAATGTTATTAACTTGATAACCATGCATGCACTTGTAGGCATGCAGGGTGGAGGTGGCTAGGGCAGTGATTGTATCAACATTGCACTCGGTGCCTTCACATTCGGATTTCACTTTCCGTTTGACATCAGGGCACCAAGTGTCAATGGCCAGATTTTGTACGTTTGGTATTCTGTTTCAAGGCAAGAGTAGTAGCTTTCCAGTGACTAGCTAGCCATCGAGATACTTATGAACTGACATTGCAATTTTTTTGGTATTCTGCTCTTCAATGGCGCATCGATGGTACGTCGATTGTGTACTCTACTAAAATTATATGTCATTTGAAAACTAAATTGCTCACTAAACGAGATAAAAATTAAGCTGTGCATAATAATTTTCATGATACTTTTAGCAGCATCGATCGTTAGTGAATGAATGCCACCACTGCTGCTCAACTACCATTGCAACAAGATTTTAGCAGAATAACAAATGTCATAATTGCAATATAATCTCAGTGGAGTCTCAACGGAATTGCAATGATCCAATGCCCAGGTGGAGTCATATGATTCTGTCTGTCACGTATTTAAAAAAAAAATCCAATTTTACTGTATACAGTGTGTTACGCAGCCAGTTTGAAATAGTCTACGCCTACTGAACTATAATGAAGAGATTAAATTAGTGCCGTCGTAGGAAACCCCGCTAGTTTAATTAATTTAGTGTTCCGTAGTCGTTTCATAACACGGATAAGCGCTGCAAGCTACAAATGCTAGGACAGAAAACCCGCTTACATAAAACGATTTTGCCACAACATAAACGGAGTCCCTTTCACCTGACTCCGACTTTTCGTGATATATCCATACCGATAGCCGACCGTCTTCATCTACTTGGAATGGACCTGTCGTCCAATCTGAACTTCGGCAGATACATTGAATCCATGGCCAAAAATGCAGCCAAGAAGCTTGGCATCCTTTCCAAGGTGAGGCGTTACTTCACACCGGAATAGTTGCTTCAGCTGTACCAAGCACAAATCCGGTCGTGTATGGAGTACTGCTGCCACTTACGGTATAGCTCTGCTAAATATCAATTGGCCACCTTGGATTCAATAGACAAGCATGCTAAGAGATTTATAGGTGACTCGGATTTAGTAGAGGTGAAGCTGCAGAGCCTTGAACACCGCCGTAGAGTTGCCAGCTTATCGGTATTCTACAGGATATATCACGGAGAGTGCGATGGAATTGCATCATTTGATTCCACCTTCCCCTTTCCATCATTGGGAGACTAGACGTGGGCAGGGGGTCCACTCCTCTGTTGTGGATATTCCCCGGATTCGCACGAAGCGTTTCGCTTCCACATTTGTATGGCGAGCGGCTAGGGAGTGGACTTCCCTGCCTGCAGATATGTACCCCGAACGCTATAACTTGGACCTTTTCAAGGCGAGAGTGAATAGGCATTACTTAGGTGTGTATGCTACATCCTCGATCTCATTGTCACATTCCATCAGGTGAGATGGAGTTCAAATGCGCACTTATTTTTTATATAAAAAAAGTCTATAATCTCTACTTCAGGACAAAAGTCTACTTAGAATAGTCGGAGTCGTCATTATGAAGAGCTGAAATATACATATTTACATGTACAGTAAAACATTATTTTTCATTCCGCAGTTAGACTTTTTTTATGTTATCAAGTGATGGGACGTCTTCATCCCGCTTCGTTCGTCGTGCGCTTGGTGTTAACCGACACGTTTGTTCGTAGCAGTTACAGTGCCGCTCAGAGCTTTAAATCGCGCCTGTCACCCGAAAACATAAATTGGCAAGTCTCAAGTGCTTGTGATCTCACCAGCACCCTTACCCTTCAAAAGCGCAGTAATACTCACATTATTACTTGGCGGCAGAAATAGGTAAGGCGGCAGTACTTCCCAGTACGAACTCTTTCACGAGGAGCTCTTCTGCTACTAATTACTAAAAGATTGAGTAGCTTTCTACTTTTATGAATCCTATAGGAAAATAATTGAAATGTCTGATATTAATTTATGTCCTTTTTTAAACCCTAAACCTGACCAGTTTCGCGCAGGGCTTTTATCTGAAGCAATACAAATAATCTTTCAAATTTTTCATCGCGTCATTTATTATACAACAATACTTTTTGCGTCCTGAGTGTAACGTGGTTCAAATGCTTGAGTTTAAACTATGTGTACCCTTATTTACAATCATTAATGTGTGATACGGCGAATATAGGTACCTAAGGGTAGGGTAAATGAGATGTTTTCACGATTGTGAATTGACTCCATTGACTCGGTGCATTGTACGTATATAATGAGGGTAAACACACTGGTCCCACTTTAAACCAACCACACTTTAGACTGCAACGAGAGCACCAACCGTGACATGCCCTGAACCGTGATGAGCAGGCCAGTATCGTGCTTGGTCATAATATTTTCATTTGTATAGTTTCTACTGTTAACGCATTAACTCGTGAAGTGAATTTAGTGGTTACAAAACTTAGTTTTAAAGAAAGTGCTCCATAGTAATGTATTTGTTACTAGTTCTGTTTAATGGAGTATTCAAGAAGACTGTTAAATCTACATACTTCTGTAACAGATGTAGGTAACGTACAAGAATTTTTCAATGAAGCGCTCTGCAGTGTGAGTGTGATATACGATTAGAGAGGACATGATAGAAAAGTGAAGAGGTTATTTATTTATTCATAAAGGCGCCAACAAAACATTAAACATATTAAATAAAAAATTACAAATTGTCAACATTTCTAAAAATCAAACTTGTTTTGAATACTTAAAAAACCGTATTCAAAACTTTTTTTTATAATATCAAGTGACGGGACGAACAAGTCGTGCGCCTGATGGTAAGCTACACGCCTATCCGAAAACAGTTGCAGTGCTACTCAGAGTTTTAAATTGCAAAGATCTGAGGGGTATTGCCACTGCGAAATCGATTCATAAACGTCGGAGTAATCGCGTAACAGAGTTGAGTGTATTGAACAAAAAATTAGTTGAATGTACCTTTATTCAACACGAAAGAGCTTGTTTCTATGGCCACTTTATGGTTTGGAAAGAAGGATTTTTTGGGAGTAAAATTGACTTATTTTGCCAATATATGGCAAATGCGATTTTAAAAATATATCAACTTTATTACAATCGTAACTTGCGCTGACGTGGCTAGCGAAGTGGAACAAATTGAATTCACCTGTGCATGATACCAAACTACAGACACTATTTTGCATTTTAAACGATACTTGCAACGAATTACGCCTAACTTTTTTAAAAACGTAATAAATAAAGATGTATAAAATGTTTGTAGTACTTAGTATAATAAACATTTTTATGACAAGTTTAGTAATATTTTTATTTTTTCTTCGTTTCAGGTCCCCATAGAGAAGAATGGTGAATTACTCCAATCTTCGGGTACACGAGACACTTACCCTACAGATCATCCTAAAATGAAAATGCTAGAAACTATCCATCCTACTACAATTTGTAAAGAAATGAGCGAATCTAACAGCGACAAAAAAAGCAAAGAGCAAACGTCGAAGAAATCATATGTTTCACTTATACCGAAAATGAATCAGAATTTTGAAAAGGTTGTGGAACAAAATCCGAGGATTCTCGATCTGCGTGAAAAACTTAACGAAATAACTAAAAACCAAAATCGTAATGTCGATAAGAAGACCAAGGGGTTGATCAACGATATAACACAACAATTAGTTGATGACAAAGGCGTTGATGATTCTGGACCTTATAGCCTTTTATTTGATCTTCAAACGGACCCGTCCACATCGCACAAAGAAAGTGGTGGAATCGGTGCATTGGGATCAGAAAAAAATATTGGCAATGCAAGGCAAAATCTCAATAAATCTACCAGCTGTCTTAACAAAAATGCAGATCGACATCCCAATGTCTTGGATTTTGATGAGAAACCCATGAGAGAATTCGAGTACTCTTGTGAAAATGATTATAATTTTCCAGCTAAGAAAACTTTCAATACACATTCTCGATCTGATCTTTGTTTGCAACTTAAGTCACATAACCCAGCACGAAATTTCGAATCCAATCTTAGTCCAAATGAAAATTCACTAAGCAGAACCAATGAAGAAAATTCATTAGATGATAGCTTAGGCATCTTGACTCCTGATCAAATGGATGATATGTGCTACCTGGACAATACCTTTTCTCCTACTGTAGAGGGACTACCAAGTTTTTATAATAACAATGATTGTAAAATATCCCCTGATAATGGAGACACTCCTTCAACGGAAAAAACTGACAGTAACTCAGCAGCATCAACTATACAAAATGAAGGTTTTGATAGCTTGGACAGCAAAAAACCCAAGTCCGAAAGTTATCTTCCTACGATTACAGCAACAGACAATAATGTACATCCCAATTTGATAACAGTAATTGAAGAGAGTTCAACGCAGAATGTTTGTCATGATACATCAGACGTATTCAAATCAAACAATTTAGACAATGAAGACGCAACACTTATAAAGGAAAATGTCGGAACCAGCATAGATGAAGAATTTATGCCTTCTGTTCATAGCAGTATTTTGGAGCCCGCCAGTTCTATTGCTGATAATACTGTGAACTTAGAAATACCACTAGATTGCAAGCACGATAATCGGATTGTCGTCAACAGAGTTGAGCAAACTCCATCACCTGAAGATTTACCACTGGATCACTCGGACCTCAATGGTGAAATTAGTACATATTCCCAATTTTCGGCTTCCACGTTACACGAATCGCAGACCTACTCTGACAGTAAAACCGACTACACAAAATCTATGGAGACATCCAAAGTATCTAACAGCTTCATCACAAGTATCACTAGTATTACCAGTTTGGACGGTTATCAAGGAGATGGTGAAATGTCGAGGCCGGTGAGCAGAGGTGCAGACCATTCTATAAGTCATCGTGAAGATGTTATAGAAATGGACTGGCAGAATGTTCCTGTGACTAGAAGGACAGATCCAATGACTGACTCAGATTTTTTCACTGAAAGTGACGCTGATGGTTTAGATGACAACGCAATGCAACGCGGCGATCGGAGAGCGCAAGTCATTGATGGAGCTCTTTACGGTGGAAAGAACGGTAATGGTAACCCGCCGTTGATAGTGAACAGGAATGACGACTCTTGCATGGAATCCAGTGGAGTATACACAGACTTTGAAAATCACCGTTCATCACCAGTATTTTTGAACGTAATTGATGATTTGTCTCCTGAAGGTTCAACGCCATCGACGCGGTCTGAATGTAGCCAGAAAAATGGCAATACCACAAAATTCGATGAAGGTGTTATCCCTCTTGATAGTAATGATAAAAACTCCGAACAACCTCAAGTAGTTGGGGCTGAAACGCCAAGAAATTCTAGCAAGAGGAATTCTTTGAATAGCGAAAAGGGCATTTCAGTTGCCGAGAAAAGCAAAGAAGAAAAAAGAAGTTTCACTCTAAAAAAGTATAAAATGCCTAAGCGCGATGTACCCAGTAAGTTAAAAAGTATGTTGGCTACTAGTGTTCAAAATGGTTCCAACAAAAATATCCTTAAAAAACCTGATAGAAGAGAGAATTTGTCTAAGAAAAATTCACTAGATCTGAAGACAGATTACAAAACAAAGTCATTTAAAGATATTAAATCTAAAGTTGACAGTTCGTTATCCTTACAGCGATCACAAACTGCGTGTAGTGTTAATAGAATGTTAAGTTCGAAGTCCAGTAACACCAACGCTAAACCTAAGAGGTAAGTTATAGTACAGTGGCATATAATAGTACATTGTGTATTATGGGCGGTAAATAAGAAATTTCCAAGGAGAGGTTGTTAGAAGCCCGAAACCGAAGGCTGAGGCTTTAATGATACATACAATGTTTTTCATCACATTTAGGAAATAGATACAACGCTAATTTATTTCTTGTATGAATAAATATCGCTTCGCAACACAATATTTACGGGTTTTACAAATAGCGGGATTTTTGTTTGTTTTAAACAGGTTGCCAGAAATTCTACCGTAATTGTTACAATTCGAACTAAAATGTTATAAAAGGCACATACAGCCACATTGTATTACATATAAAATAAATTATTTCGAAATTATAAAAATACTGAAGAATGTGTATTCTCAAAATAAATTTTGTGGAATATAGTTAAATTGCAACGTTTAGTTTTTTTATATTTCAAATTTATGCGAAATATACGTTCACATTTTTCGAGCATGAAAACTTCTGCTTAATGTTGACGTTAAAATCCTTAGTGCGATAGGGAACGTAATGAAAAATATAAACATAATTTAATAAATAAACACAACATAAAACAGATTCATTTGTAGTGTAATGTTAGAACAATACCTAAGTGTATGCAGAGCAAATGCTCCTATAGCACTTATACTCGAGATGACCTGAGAACAAAGGCGACTCAAACGGTATTTCGTGAGTGTGATTCGTTCTGACAGTAGATACCTGAATAAGTCAATTTGTGCAGCCGGCATATGCGTATGCGCATGGACCTGGGCTCAGCGGCGGGCAGCGGCAAAAGCAGTCTGCATAGCTCCCAGAGTGACATCAGCGCCATCAGCACCCCATTGCCGAAGCACGCAACCAGTCGCTTCCCCTTGTTGAGTGAGTATTTTGCAATATTTTTCAGAGATCAACACTATATACACTTAACTTCTTATTTATTTATTTATTTATTTATTTATTTATTCATGGAAAACCAACAGCTATAAACATTTAGAAAGATACAGCAATAAAAACATAAAGCCAATTACAGGTTTTCACTTATAGCTACAAGTTAGTTAAACACGAGCATTGGACTAATAAAACTAATAAATACTACTAAATACTAATAAATGCAGCAATCCCATACGTGCGTCAACAACCACTTGTTATTCAATTAAATTAATTAATATATCTGTTATTTTACGTTTTAGTGCATGAATGTTACAATTAAATATATCTACATCCAGGTCATAGTCACTTAGCACACCATTTAAACTCCTACTAGCTCTACATATAAAACTATTCTGTCTATAGTTTGTCCTCGCTATGGGAACTACAAGAGGGTGGTAGTGTCTCATGGAACGTGTTGGAACATTAAATGAGAGTTCATCCAATAAGTCAATGCAATCAACCTTGCCGTTTATAATATTTAAAAGATACACTATATCACAGATTTTTCTGCGATCATATAATGGTAATAGACGCTGATCTTTACAGAGACGCAAGTAACCCAATGAATTATAAGACTTACCCATTTTATAACACAAGAATTTAATAAATTTATTTTGAACTCGTTCTACTCTGTCAATATAGACCTGGTACATCGGATTCCAAACTTGGGAGGCATATTCTAACTTACTACGAACATATGTACAATATAGTATCCGTAGAGTTTTTGGCTTTGAAAAACAAACTGAGTTACGCATTATGAATCCAAGAGACTTAGTAGCCCTGGAGACAATATCATCAATATGAGCATCAAAAATATATATTATATGTAAAAATCGACAGAACTGCTAAGACAGGTTATTATAAAATCAAACTTTAAAAAAAAAATTATCTACAATTGAAAGTTATGCATATAAACAGTATTTTTTACTTTAATCTTTTCAAGTACCGAAACAGCTGCTAATCTTCACGTACTTTTCTACCAACTTAGCTTAGCGATGAAGGGCGATGTTGAGACTTGTTCACCCGAATTCATGATTAAATTTGTCACGGACAAAACATAGGTTCATGTTCATGTACACATCTTACACGTGCATAATATTGTCATTAATACTGTTCTTTTGTGATTGGGAAAAAAACACTTTTTATATAAATGTCAGTTGTGGTTTTCGCTGTATCAACATCCTTAAGTTATCTTCTATTGGGGATTATCACGAAATAAATTCTTTTATCAGATAAGTAAGTCTGTTATCCCAATATACATATATAGATATATTGTTGAATTGGAGAACTACTTGTCTTTTCTTATCTTATAGTACCTGAAATCGCGTAAAGAACTTTTATAAACATTTTTCAAAAGGAAATTTTACATGTAACTAAAGGCTGGCGTTTTTACCATGAGTAACAAATATTCGAAATAGGAAATGAAACTATTTTTCAGATCTAAATCGTGTATATTTGTTGTTTCAAACAAACATACGTTACGGGCCCTTACAAGTTCCATGGTCACGGCTGATCATGACGGACCCGCGGGGGCAGAGCCGGGGTTATGTGGGACTGGGCTGAACCCTGAAGGGGAGCAGCCCGACCGCACTAAACCCCCGGAGTGTTCCTCCTCTCCGCTGTAGGGTACGCTGTTGCACTCGTCCGCGCCCCCACCAGCGGCAGGCCGCGCCCTGCGCAGCCCCTCCTCGAGAAGGGAGACACATCGGTCCCCCGACTTCGAATGTGAGGCTCGCCGAACACCAAACGAGTCTTCCATCCCGGGCCCCTTCATGCTGGGCAGCGAACTCCCCCGAGTCCGCTACCCAGGGGCCATGCGGGGCCAGGACAGCATCCACTCAACTGTGAGTGTTAACCATGACCATGGTACCTGTGAAGGGCCCCAAACGCGGGTTTGTTTCAACAAATAAGGACACGCGATTTAAATTATTTTATTTTCAATATGTAACAATCCAGCCCGTTGCACCAAGTACCAAGTACCAAGTATGTAACAATCGCAAAAACCTAAGAACTTGATAAATATTCGAAATATTCACGATTTTGATGTCTGTAATTTACAACAAGAATCAGTCATCCATTTATTATGAAAGTTTCTGTTTACACTTGAAAATATATAATATATGTATTGTTCGTTCTTATGCCTTACTATTTTGTCTTGTATAGTTGCCACAATTAATGACATATTATTATAGATATTTGCCCGTTTATTTAGGTGTTACCTAACTGTTAACTTAGGCACACACAATTAATTAAAGATATCCATTGTGTTACTTCGCATTAGTTTATTTCAACGAAAATGTAATATTACTTAGACAATAATCTGTAACCTTGGCACATTTTACGTGGTTATAATAAGTTATCAATATCTATGACTTACCAGAAATAAAACGTACATAAAGGTAACGTTGTTATTTATGGTATATGTAAATAAAAAAGAAATCAGTTATATACCTAATATGTTATTGGTTTTTAAATAAAATGACGTAGACTTGATATTGCTTACGAAGTACAATAATTTTGAACTACAAGTCACTACAAAGCAGATAAAACGCCTGCACATATTTTAAGAGCAATTGTATTCTTTAAAGAAAGAAATATAAAATTGTGGCCGTTCGACTAAGGTTAATGAAATGACAGATTATTATTAAATTGTCGTGACCAATAATTAGTTAACAATGATTGTCTATATGGAGTGCTAAATCTGACCAAAATACTCGAAATAAAAATTCTGAGATAAGTACTAGATATATTGTAACAGAGGACAAACATTAGTTACGTACGTAATATGATATGTTATTGTTTTGTAAATAAGATGACGTAGATGTAATATTGCTAACGAAATACAATAATTTTGAAATACAAGTCACTAATAAGTAGATAATACGTCTGCAAACATTTTTACACTAATTTTATTCTTTGATAATATTGCTCACCTAAAACTTGACGGCGTTTTATGCGCGAAATCAAAGTGTCGTAAATGTACGAAGTTATTATTAAAATATTATTTCTATTATGACATCATAACTATTATAAATAACCCCCGTAAGTCCCATAACTGCGCAGGCTTTTTCAACCAAAATTCTTCGCGTCTCTTAATAAATAAAGGACAAGCCTTGGAGAATAATGCAAAATAACATTCAAACAAACAATAAATCAATAATTGATCTCATCTCGAAATAATTTCTGTCTTAAAAGTCCTTTTGCCACTGACTACTCGGTTATGCCTTGGTTCAAAACGAGATTTCGAAAACATTTTCACCTACACTGTACACATCGCGTGTAGTGTTTTATTTTTCTTAATGTTTTGATTTTCATCTCGTTTAATAATAGTTACTATATTATGACTACGCGGTGGAATAATTTCCGCGTATGTAACCCGAAAATCAGATGAATGGTGCAATGATATCAGGCGATGCGGAAGGTTAACAGCGAGCGGCAGTAACCCGCAAAGACGGCAAGACACAGGGAACAAGTTGGGACCGCATGGCAACGGCATTTCCTCTCGGTTATGTTCAGTTCGCCAGTCGCCGGTGAGACGCGACGGCGCGCGCCGCCAGCCTGTCGCTCGTGACGTCACCACTTGTACCGCGAAAAATCAATGGATTTGCCTCTGTCACTAAGGTTAACCGCATACCGCATTTTCTTACCGAAAATGTGCTCTATGCCAGTGAAGTGTTGACAGTCCTGACCTATCGAATAATTACAGGTTGATTTTTAAGCGCACCGCAATGTGTGAGCGGTTACTTTCAAGTTTACGTTTGTGTGGTGTCATAATTTCAGTTACTTTTATATTTATAGGAAGCTTCATCTAAAAAAGTTTGTTTACGTTAGCAATTTTTATGATTTTTTGGCAAGTTTGTAAGTTTTTATGACATTTTTTATACACAAATTCGATGTTCCTTTTAATTATTCGAATCGATAAGAGTTCAGTAACTTTCCTAAAGTAATTTGTTTCGTAAATATAAAATATCATGCATTTTCTTTGATAATTTTATTCGGTTACGTGAATTTTACCAGAGCTTAATTACCTGATTATTTAACTGTTGTTGCCAGTTTCAAATCCAATCTATACACGTAGCACTGTCACGGTAAATTTAAATTTATCTCCGTTATATTCCTTTAACTCGCCTTTAACTGTCCTTCAATTTCGTGTGCCACTTGCAACTGGTTAAACAACTTTAATGCTAACTATACTAATGTTATTTCAAAGGTAAACAAATGTGGCAAGAGTCTAGGTGACACAGTTGGGTGTCACCTGGACTCTTGTCACAGTTTTCAGACATTTCATGATTTACCAGTTTATCGTGTTTAAAAAACAACAATAAGCTACGATGCAATTCTTAATAATAATAGTTGTAGAACAATTAGATTTAAATAATAGAAAAATAAAAATGTTCTTACGCAATTTTAGTAATTTTCTTCTAACAACTAATTCACGTGAAGACACCAACAAGTTACAATAAAATAAAAAAACTATAGCTAGATATAAATAGGTACCTACAGATTTACAAATGTTGCCATACCTTTCACTTGTTATTTTGTTTTCATCTGTTAAATTACTTTCGGGGGTCATAGAACCGACATCTAGATACAAATCAATCTGCAACTAATTAGCAGGCACAATAGGAGTTTAATAGGCTAAATGGAGAAAGTTCTATGTTTTAAGCATGTTCGATTCGCATGCAACACTGTGCTTACCTAGCAATTACTTTGTGTTCTGCACGTTGCAAAACGTGCATTTTGTTCATTTAATCTAATTACATTTAGGCGTGGAATTCACTGGTTTTTTTATGAACTGCATATTGTTTTAAAACTAGAATAAACAAGCTGTCTGTCGGCCGCAAGCATTACGTATTAAAAATAGGAAGTTTAACATTCTTCTTGGCTGACAATGACTCGTGAATTTACAATCCTACAATCACGTTAACAAATAGATGAAAAGTTAGAAA